CTGATACTGAGAGCGCTGCATGACTCTACATAGATACCTCACAAGCTTTGAACATCGGTTTTTCTGGTGCACTTGGGTCATGCAGAATTTTTGAATTTCCACTCGGAGGTTCTGGGAAACAGCACCCAATTATAGAGGTACTCAAGACCCAACTCTGAGCCCTCTACGTCCACTAGTGGACCAGTTATAATTGTCTTATAGTCGCCTCTAAACCCTAAACCCTACACCCTGAACCCCAAACCCTTTATACCTCTCTATAAGTCCTAGATAACTCTATATAACCCCATAGACTCCTTAGAATAACCACACTAAACCCTAAACCCTGGACCCTGAACCGCCTTTCAACCCTCCAAGGCCAGGACATCCTTGGCTGCGGTGAGTCGGTCCTAAGCAAAAAGCCCAAGATCCCTTAATTTGGGGGGTTTGGGTTATAGGGATTTAGGGTTTAGGGTTTAGGGTTTAGGGACTTAGGGTTTAGGTTTTAGGGGTTAAGGTGGTTTAGCCCAATATCTCTTAACTATGGAATATACCTTTGATCATACTAGGGATCCTAGTCCCATTGAGGGTATATTCCCTAGTTAAGGGACATTGGGCTTTCTGGGTAAGCAAATACTGATAAAACCCACACGTTCTTAGGGATCAGGTTTTACGGTTTAGGTGTAAGGGTCTCGGGTTTAGCGATTAAAGTTTAAGATTTAGGGGCCACTTGGAAAAGAACACTTGATTGGTTACACGTTTAGAGCTTCGGCGTCAAATTGTGTACCCATTCCTGGTGTAGTGTGCAGCACCTGTTGTACCCGACGGAGTGGCGATCATGATATTTTGCTAGTGCTGTTGAAGAGACGCGCGCGTCTGCTAAAGTTAATATATCGGCATATACGGGTATCTGCAGGCACATATAGGGATGTATAAGCCTCTTATGTATTTCTATATGTTTCTAAGATTTCTAGGGAAATCTGGATATACAAGTTTGTAGATAATATTCTATGCACAATGATATATAGGGACATGAATGGGTTGGGTTTAAGCTGCATCCAGGGACACCTGGCTTTCGGACCCTCAGGCCTACATTCCCCTACTTGAAGGTTTAGGGATTAGGGTTTAGGCTTTAGATAGTTATACAGTTATACATGGTGTCGTTACTACCCTACGTATTTAGACTCCAAGCATGACTACACACCCGAAACTCTAAATCCTACACCCTGAACCCGGAACCCAAAAACCCATATTTCTCTAAACCCTACATCCTATACCAGAAGCCCTGAAACCCCAAACCCATAAACATCCAAAACCCAAATCCTACATATCCAAACGCTGAGCTCTACACCCATAAACCTCCAAACCCTAACCTAAGCCCCTAAAAACCTTAAACCCTAAACCCTTGAATCCCTACACCCTAAACTGTCAACCGAAATCCTGAACACTACACTCCCCCAAACTAACATGGAAACCCCTGTAGTCCCCTTTTAGAAGGACTTCAGTCTCTTTAGGGCCCTTTTTGGGTTCAATGCTACTTTCCGGGAGTGCAGACCCCAAACCCTAATACCCTAAAGCCTCAACCCCTAAACCCTAAACTCCTAAACAAGTAGACCCTAAACCCCTAAACTCTAAACCCCTAAAACCTAAACCCCTCAACCCCCCGAAAACCCTCCAAGTAGACCCTATAATTTTGCCAAGGTGCCCTAAACACCAAACACCTAAAACCCTAAACCCCTTAACCCCTTAACTCCTAAACCCCTAAACACCCTAAACCCCTAAACCCCTTAACCCCTTAACCCCTTAACCCCTTAACCCCTCAAACCCTAAGCCCTAAACCCTAAACCCTAACCCCTAAACCCCTAAAACCCTATGGGTTTTGCCAAGGTCACCAAGGTATCGCCACCGGGAGCCAGCTTTGGCTCCTGAAGCCTTTCCTGGGTTTAGGGGGTTTAGGGTTTGAGGGGTTTTAGGGGTTTAGGGGTTTAGGGGTTTAGGGGGTTTAGGGTGTTTAGGGTGTTTAGGGGGGTTTAGGGTTTTAGGGTTTGAGGGGTTTGAGGGGTTAAGGGGCTTAGGGTTTTAGGGGTTTAGGGGGTTTAGGGGGTTTAGGGTTTGAGGGGTTTGAGGGGTTTAGGGTTTAGGGGGTTTAGGGGGTTTAGGGTGTTTAGAGTGTTTAGGGGGTTTAGGGTTTTAGGGGGTTTAGGGCTTGAGGGGGTTTAG